TTTCCTCACCCTCCCCTTTTGCACAAGCCTGTGTTTTCCTGCTCTACTCAATATTCACCTTCTATTTTACTTCTTTTTTCCAATCCACTGGACACAAACATAGTTCAGCCGTTTGATTCCTCTACAACAATCTGATATTCAGTAAGAAAAATGGGCATCTGCAGGGAAGGCCAGCGAAGAATGGGAAACAATTGGAAACCCATGCTGGCTGTGGTATTTTGGGAGTTGAAGCCCATACATCTTCAAGCCAGCGAGGTTGAGGAACGTTGCTTTAGAGGGATGACGTTGGCAGTATATGTCCTGAAAAATCATCTACAAGACTTAAAAAGGGGGAAGGATGGTTTTCCATCTCCAGTGGTCCCTGTGCCTGCCTTAACTGTGCCCAAGAGTACAACCTGCCTCAATTTGGTTACTTCTGATTGGCAAGGCTGTGAGAGGTTTCTGTGGTGATGCCGAAAAGATGATAGAGTATGTGGGGACATGCCTACAGCACTTGTCTATGACTCAAGAAAGTAGCCGTGCCCGTTTCCAGAATATTGGGGAAAGACATGGCTGCTTTAGTGAGTTGTAGCCAAGTGCAGTGGATGCATTTGTAACATTGTACAACCTACTGATTGATCCTGGTTGGACATGCCATTTGGCCACAGCAGTACATTACCTTGAATTCTGTTTTTGGGTATTATAATCTAGGATGGAAAGTTTGGAACTGGCCTGGATTGCTTCAGTTTGTCATTCAGGTGACAGTGCAAGCAATTGGCGTGTTCTTAAACGTTTAGCTGCCAAAAGACCTTGAGATCTGAGATGACCCATAGATTTGGGGTATGCTAAAAATGTTTCAATAACCACTTTATTATAAATAAGCACGCTTTTTACTAGGTGTCCCATAGTTTCAGTTCATGATATGCTCCCACAAACAGAAATGCTCCACTAAAGAGAAAAAAACTGGCCCACCAAAAATGACTGGACTATAAATACCAATTTTCCATCGTTCATACTGACTGGCAATGAGATCAGAGTACAACAGCACCTGACATTCCTCACTTCTGTTCTTCCTGTTACCTTCCATATTTTGAGGCACAATCTAGGTTAATTCTTATTCTAGAAAGCTCTAAATCAATAATGAATCTCCACGCTCTCCATGAAACTGTATGTTCCTGTGCCACAGCCTATTCTTTTCCTTGATGTTTCCTCCATCTATTTCTCCTTCAAAATTATTCCAACGTCACTAGGAGATTCTAAAATGGTTCTCACTCGCCTTTCTAAATACTTCAGAGCTTTCTCAGGATCTTCTCCAGAGAGCGATGTCCTTAACAGCAATTCAAACTCATTACTTTGGGGACTTTTTCCTATCTTCATATTATTGTATTTAGTCATCATCAAAATTATAGTAAACGTCAATTTTTTTCTGTTTACACTGGATATTTGAGAATGGAAGAAAAATAATTACCAGTTTGCTTTCTTTTAAGCCACTAGCTAATTTTGATTTTTGCTGGTGGATGTATTATTTGACTGACTAGCTTTGGAGGTCTCATTTCCTATTAGAATTTGGTTAATAGGACCTTTGGACTGATGTCTTCAGCAAATAAGTAATCAAAGTATAATATGGTTAATTTTGATTTAGTTTATGCAATGCATGTAAAGATGGAATGTTGAGGTTTTTTCCTCTTTGGTTTTTTTGGGAGTAATTCATAATCTTTACTAGCCACAGCATATTCAGCCCCTTAAAAATATACCTTTTATTGCTTTTGCATGATGACTCAGAGTGGAGGTAAGGCCATAATCTACTCTGCCGTCTTGGAGTATGACTATAACTGTATTTGTACTGGGTCTTCCAAGGCCTTTCCCAGAAATTAAATTCATCTCTTGAGCGAAGGAAACCAATTGATTGTAATGGAGTAGACATTTTGTATTCAAAAAATTCCAGAACCCACAAAATGTCCTTAGATGGGACTTGTATAGTCTTCTGCTTGTGATCTTGTTGAGATATTATCAGCCTGAATGTTTAACCATGGCTTTGGTGATTCCTAAGCTTAGGTTTCCATGCATTATAGGACTGAATCTCTCATCAACTTAAGATCCAGGGTTAGAAATCACTAGATCAGATGGACTTATTTATTCTGACACAAGACTGCTTCTTAAACGAGTTTGAAGTTCCCACCTATTCTAGCATGCCATTTCCATAAAAATATATTCCAAATATATTCCATATATTTCCTACTAGCCCTGGCACCATACATAAAAGGAGCCAGTGTCATACAGTGGGTAATTCCTCTCTCCCCCAACTCTGCTAAATCTCAGATTTCCATTAATATGCATAATATATTTTTCTTAAAATGGGAAAGAATGCAATAGGATACCAAAAGTTTTATATATTTATAAATTTTATTACAATCCATAAAGTATGTATTTTAGGTAGTAAGTATATCTTCCTTATTTTACTATTAACATATTTACACTGAGGTCTTGTAACAGCATGGTTTGTAAATTATTTGTAAAACAATAAATTTTACTTTTGTAATCCATTAGTCTAATCCTTGGAGAACTGTTTTAATATTTAAAGCAAACAAGTCAAAACCATTTTCAGGGCTATCAAAAAGAAGAAAATTGGATAATCGTGTATATAAAGTAACAGAAGCTGAAACAAGCATTAATAATAATGTTTTCCCCATTAGCAGTCCTTACACCATGTGAGATAGAGCTATTTATGTTCTCCACATAGAAATTTCCTTAGAACAGTAATCTTTTAACCCTAGCAAGTTTAAGATGTGTGTGGACTTTGATTCCCAGAATTCTAGGAATTGAAGTCCACACATCTTAAAAGTTGCTAAGGTTGGGGAACACTGCCTTAGAACACAAGTAACTTTTAAATGTCTATCATTCTTTACAGAACTACTCTTACAACTAACAGAACCGCTTTCTCAAACACCTACATTTATGCAAAATAAGAGATGGGGAAGCTGTGTTCTTCTGGATGCTACTACTGGATTCCAACATTAAGCCAACACATTTAAGACATAGACATTATATATATATTCTAATTCATAATTTAAGCCACTTTCTGCAGTCGCCAAAACATTACCATACATGCTCATGTATAAGCCATACTGCAGATAAACTGACCCTTAAAATTTCTGTATGTTTTAATGTTTCACAATTGGTTTATCTGCATGTGGTGTATTTTATGGTGCTTTGGTTAAAAATTCAAGGATTGACTTATCTGCAAGTGGGCTTCTATATTGGTATATATGAGATATAAGGGTACTTTAAAAATAACATTGCCACATATACTTGCAGAACCCAACCAAATTTTGGAGCTTAATTTTGGCTCCCCAAATTTGTGGTTTATCCATGAGTCTCTACGGGATTCTAAGATCAAGTATTTTAGATCTTCAGCCTAACAAAAGTTGCATATCATTGATCTACACTTTTTCCAGATGTTGCAAATGCTATGTACAAGGATAAATTCCACTTCCTTTTTATTCTCTCTTGTCCATATAATATAGTTGCATCAGGCCTAAGACCACATATAATTTGCTGCTTCTTTCCCATTTCTGAACACAACTTGTATTCCTTGTTGTAGCAGGGAGAATGTGCAGAACTTGGTGACTGGAATAAGCTGTGTACAGATATGGGCAAAGCTTGTGAAAAATATCTAGGTACTGGCTATATCTCACTTTAAAAGTCTTCACACCTACTAGTAGCCAAAGATTCCAATTGTTTCCGCAGAGGAAAGCTTTTGTAAAGGAAGATAAACCTCTGGCCCTGATAACAGTCTCTGTCCAAAGTCCATATAGGAGCCAAGTGATTTCCATATTAATCATGCCTCTCCCTTACAAAACAGGGAGAGAAAACTTTCATGTTAGCAGAAGATAAACTTTCAAATCACAAACGACCATTCACACAGAACAATAATGAAAAAGAACCAGCTGCAAGGGATAGGCACATGTTTGAACATGTCGACTTATTTTCAACTTACGAAAACTGCAAAACTTAAATGCCTGTGTCCAGAAATGATAAAAGAGGTGAAAAGATGAGGAAGATCAGATGAAGCGCCTGCTGTTTATCATTAGTTGAAATTTAATAATTAAAAGCCTTGGAAAAAAATAAACTCTGCTTTATTGCTCTCGCTCTATCTCTTAATTAATATTTACCTTTTTTGTTTGATATCTCATCCAAGCGACATCAACAGAACCCATGCTAGTCATCAAGACAACTTTGAAATAATTTGTATCCTGAAAACTAATTAAAATGTTTTATAAAATGCTGACATCTTGTATAACTAGGCTATTTTCAATTTTATTATTTTTAATCCACCAATACAGTACAATAGCAGCTGAAAAAATTCCTGTTCCCTGATTTAAATCACTTTGAGAATATTTAAGAGTGGATTAGATAACTTTTTGACATGAAAACTCTGAGCTCCATGCAATTGACAACAAGACATAAATATTTTCCTCTGGAATCAGCAACAACCGCCTACTGTACTGTACGTCAAAGAAGTAATTGATTGGCAAAATCGTTCTGCAAATTCAGAGCTCTCCTTGGTATTTTTCAATATGGTAGCTAATTTGATAACTAAAAACAGTTGGAAAAAAACATTCCCCTAATTTTTCTCTGCCTGGATGTTCAGCTCCTTCCTATCCACCCAGGGGGCATCAGTCCCAAGTCAACATATAATTTGTTCAGTGGTGGGCTGCAATTTTTTTAACAACAAGTTCTCTGCCTGGGTAGGCCTGGCTGATTATTCATGTGACTGGGTAGGTAATGTCACTCATCACACGCAGCACCGCCTCCCAGGCACCCCTTGCAAAGGAAGAGGTAAGGTTCAATTGGTTGGGGCTAATCCCACCATTGGCTGGCTCCACCCCTGCCCATTTTTCAGCCTGTTTTGGAGCAGTTTTCAGGCCATTTTCCAGGCCAAAAACGGCTCAAACAAGGCCTGAAAATGGTCCAAAAACCAGGCCGTTTTTCAGGCCTTTGGGGGGGGGGGGCTGAAAATGGCCCAGAAAAAGGCCCCCAAACCAGGCTGAAAAACGGGCAGGGGTGGGAGCCAGCCAGTGGTGGGGTTTACCAAACTGTGTGTGATCTTAACTACCAGTCCGCGAGAACCGGTGCGAACCGGCAGCAGTCCACCTCTGAATTTGCTGCTTATTGCTTCTTAATATTAAGAAAACATTAAGTACATTTACCTTCACATAATATATTATCTAGATATTAAGAATGCATAAATCCTAATAATAATAATAATAGGATCTGGGTTCCCGTGACACTACCACACTTTAGGCATAAAGATGGCTAAAAAAAAATCAATTCCATGGGTATAGGAGCACCTTTAAAAAACAACAACCAACCAATCAGAAATGCCCACCTTAAAATATGTTCTGTAGCCAAATTATACCAGCTAGTTACAAAATAGGTTTTTACTTAGAAATTTCCTTCTTATCACACTTTCTGATAAGAATGTTTTCATGGCCATTTGTATGCCACCTATTCAAGCAATTCTGGGGGAATACGATATATAATCTGAGCCTCTTTCCAGAAGGAGCAGAAGCTTTCTTCCACGACGACAGGACTTTTTCCTTGTGTGGGGCCAGATTTTAATAGTGGCTGCATCTGCTTGACTGGGCTGCCAGCAAAGAATGAATCCAGATCAGCGCTTTGCAGACTTCTTTCACGGCTTGCTGCTCATAGGGGGCAGGTTAAGTCCGAGGTGACGAAGAGTCTGGAGGAAAAAAGGAGGGGGAGGGGCCACCAATAGAGTGCGAGAAGAACAGCAACCATCAGGGAGGAGAAGCTGGTGGAGGTGGAGATGAAGCTGCAAGCGGAACATCACTTGTTGCCGTAACCGGAGCTTTTGCATCAAATGTTCCTCCAGAACCTATCAAGAGGTTGGGAAAGGAAGAGAAGGAATGTTATTATAAATAATTCCTAGGTCAACCTACTTACAAGCATTATGTCAGGATTCTGGCAGTTAGCCCAATCGTGAGTCTCGAGCCAAACTTCCAAAACTTCAAAAGGATTTATTGGGAGTTAACATGTCCGGCACTGCCGACTCTGAGGCACGTAATTCATTGTCACCCTTGGCCTTGGTTTTCTCCCTCACCCTCTACGTGTATCGTAATTCATATTCTCCAATGGGACACATCCATAGCCGAGAGCCATCAATCATGTTCTCCAGTTAGATATTTGCACGGCAGAAACTTCGTTCACCAAGTTACTATCTTTGAAAAACTATTTACGGATTGCACTTTCTGTTTGCAAGCTGCCACGCTGCTCCCCCCTCCCTTTCTGTTGGCAACTCTAAAAAGATCATTGAAATATTTTAGGAGTTGTCACATTATTTTACAGGTGGTCCTCGACTTGCGATCATAACTGAATTATGGTCGTAAGTCACCACCATTATTAAGTGGGCTATCATGTGAGTGGACCTGATTTTTTTTTTACAGTGGTTGTTAAGTGAATATATTTTACCCAATGGGTGTTTTTTTGGATCAGAAAACAGAAGTAAAATGCTGCAAACCAATTTAAAAAATGTCAAAAATTGTGTCCCGAAAAGGGCTTTTTAAAAAGGCAACTGGACTTTGTTTTTCCCTTGAAGATGTTTTGCTTCTCATCCAAGAAGCTTCTTCAGCTTCTGACTGAAAAAGTTCAGTTGCCTTTTGAAAAAGCACCTTTGGGACAACCGTGACCTGGATGACTGAGAATCTCCAGATGTCAAAAACTGTGGTTATGTGACTGCGGGTGCTGTGAAGAGCCATTAAGTAAGCTGGTTGCCAAGCAACCAAAATGCACGACAGTGCCTGGAATGTCCCACAGTCCTGTGACACTGTTTCATGATAGTTTTATCAAAAACCAAGGCTTACGTGTGGCTTTCGTCAAAACTGCAAACCATTGGTTCGTTTAAAGAGCTTGTATTCACTTAACAATCATGTTGATTCGCTTAACAACCACTACAAAAATTCATAAAATTGGCTCAATCTCATGACTCCCCCTTTTTATGACTGTCACATCATACTACTCTAAGGGGCACAGGCTCCATTACAGTTGAATGTCGAGGACTATCTGCATGGAACGTCTCTACCAGAGGTGGTATTCAGCAAGTTATGACCAGTTCTGGAGAACTGGGAGTGGAAATTTCGAGTAGTTCGGAGAACTGGCAAATACCACCTCTGACTGGAGAGTTTACAGTATCCTTCCCCCGCCATGCCCACCAAGCCATGCCCACAGAAGCGGTAGTTAAAAAATTTGAATCCCACCACTGGTCTCTACATTTCTCAGACTCCAGGATCAGCTTCTACCAACCTGCGTCCGAGGCGGAGTCGTCTCAGCAGGCATGAGAAAAGGTTCTCCAAGAACTGTTCCCACCCGAGAAGAATACACATGATCTCCTAGCACAGGGCTCAGGATCTGGGTCAGGTGTACCTGCAGCTGGTTCCGGAAAGCTGCAACAGAGAACACAAGAGAAGAAGAATGACACCTAGAGCTGGCTATCCCCTCTAAGAAACATCAGCTCCAGCTCCAATGGTTTGGCATGAGCTGCTAAGCTTTTCCATTTATTTTATTTGTTTGTCAAACATGTACAAGATAACAAATGTAGGTATGAACATAAACATGACCAAAGGAAGTAAATACAGATAAATGGGGACAGTAAGACAGGGACGGTAGGCACGCTGGTGCTCTTATGCATGCCCCCTTTAAGGACCTCTTAGGAATGGGGTGAAATCAGAGGTGGTCTTCAGCAGGTTCTGAGCAGTTCTGAAGAACCTGTAGCGGAAATTTTGAGTAGTTCGGAGAACTGGCAAATCCCACCTCTGACTGGCCCCGCCCCCATCTATTCTCTGCCTCCCGAGTCCCAGCTGATTGGCTGGGTCTTCTTTTGTTGCCCTGCACAGGAGAACGGAGCTGGAAAGCAGGTTAGTGGGGTGGGGAGGGAATGGGGATTTTGCAGTATCCTTCCCCTGCCATGCCCGCCACACCACACCCAGAGAACCGGTAGTAAAAAATTTTGACTCCCACCACTGGGTGAGGTCCACGGTAGACAGTTTGAGATTGAAGCTGTGAGGGTTTGAGGCTGTAACAAAAACTTTATAAGAGAGTCTATACACGACATTCAAAAATAAGATTAAATAAAAACAATAATGCTTTCTCACTCTCTCCCAATCCTCTGCCCCAAAATATGATCTACACCGGAAGAAAAGAGGACTTGAAAGGCCAAAGTTTAAGTACATATTTTTTCCCAGCATGCATTTTGCAAAGCAGTTGAAAATAAGTAGAGAAACAACAAAGTGATGGAACATGGGAAACACACAGGAAGCATAAGAACAGGTAATTTGGGGTGGAGTTGCAAGAGAAAGGGCAAAGAAAGAGCATTAAAATGAGAGACAGACAACAGAAACTAAGAGGTACAAGAAAAACATAACAGTCAACTTGCCAGAAAAGCCTCATCCTTTATATAAATGAGGATACTGTCAAATTCCATTCAGTTTGTGGGAAATCACTACTACAAATAATAGTTTCTCTACAACCATGAGAATCACAACCTGATCCTTGTTTTTAAATGCCAAACTGCATGCTGTAAAGCTTTTTTGATCCCAAAAAAGGAGAAGATAATAAGTAGTCCTCAACTTACAACCGTATGTTCCAGATCATGATGGCCTCAAAACATGGTGCTTTACAATCCATAAAGCTCTTCCAGGCATCATAAAATGTCACTCGCCATCTTGTGGTCATGTGACCAATTTCTGGTGCTTGGCAACCAGCTCTCCTTTACAACCAGTTGCCAAGCACCCTTCAGTTATGTGGCCGCCATTTGCAATCCTCTTGGGAGGCAAGGAACATTGCAAGCAGAGGGGACGGGGTGAACCGAAATCCTTTTGTGGGCTATAGTAACTGAGCTGAAACCATCCAGCTGAAAGATTTCTCCTTCATGCATGGGGGGGGGGGGGAATTCTAAAGATTTCAGCTCTGTTCCTGCATCGCTTTGAAGGACCTCCCCTCTGTGCACAGAAGGAAGGACAAGTCTCTTAGTCGGTTACAGGAACATTTGTGAGTGAAAGGGCTACCTGCCAGCAGGATTTCAGCTTCATACCAAACTGAATTCCTCCCGGCAGGCAGCTCTTTTGCTCCGTCTGCTTTACAATGCAAGAGACTGCTTAATGACTGTAATCAGAATGCTGGAATTGCTGTTACTGAGCAAAGCAGTCGTGTGGGCGCCTCGCTTAACAACCGCTTTATTCAGTGACTGAGTTTGGGAATTGTGATCAAGAACTCCATCACTAAGTAATGCAGTCATAAGGGACATAGCCATGTGGCCGTGCCAACTTATAATGGCTGTTCCACCAATTCCTGTTGCTGCCATTAAGTGAAACCTGTATGGTCACAGCATCCCAGAGTCATGTGTTTATGCGACCTCCTGTAAACTTCTCAAAGGTTATCAAAACTCAGCAGGGAAGGTGGCAAATAGCAATCACATGACAGCCATCCTAATTTTAGCTGGCTGCTGAGGTCCCACATAGCAATCATATGACTGCAGCGCAATTACAAGGACCATTGTTAAGTACCTCTCATTCAGCACCATGACTTCTAATGGTCACTGAACAAATGGACATTAAACAAGGACTACCCGTAATCCACTTTTCAGGAAAGTTGAATTGCCCACTTTGGGTGAATGCCCCCTCATGCCCCCTCTGCCCTACTGAGGCTTTGTAACTCACTTGTCACTGGCTGCAGCTGCAACAGGGCACAGCCGTCCTTTGAGTCCAGCACTTTGTAGTATGTCAATGTCTTTTTTACCACCTTTGTTTGGAGACTCTTACGAGAAGGGGAAGTTACTGGCACTACCTGTAATCCAGACAAACATCAGCATTAGCACATGCTCTGAGCACCTAGTAGACCACCTGTCACCTGCCTATAAACAAGAATCTAGTCAACTAACGGCCTGCACTAAACCGGTGCTAGATAAGAGTCAACAAAATTTAGAGGGGGGAGCTAGACTTGGATCTTTTGTGGTGATGCAAGGATTCCAAACTGATAATGCATTTAACTCCGCCTTCCCCCAACTCTGCTTGCTCTTCTTCCACATCACCTAACTAAAACCTGTGTCCATGGGAGGAAGTGCAATCCCAGACTAGCAATCCTGGGATTCTTTTGAACCTGTTACCCTTCTTGTCCAGAACAGCAGCTATAAGGCTTCCAGAACCACTGTCCAGTATCCCTGCCCTTACCAGGTCAAAGCCATCAATGTCCACCATCTTGAGGCCTATATGAATTTCTCCTTCCATAGCTACTGGAGTCCTGGTAGTAACAGCACTGCAAAGAGAAGGATATCAGGCAATGCTTTGGAAACAATAGGGAAGGTGAATGGAAAAAAAAGTTCTTTAGGAAAAGCTTTCCTCAACTGATGCACTCCAGATACTTGGATTGCAAATTTTCCAACTGAGGAAATGAATGATTCCACACTTTCCCTTTCATCCACCAAAAGGAAAACAGAAAATGTTTTCTCACCAGTAAGTAGCAACTGGATGTTTTTTCTTCTTATGCTGACTATAAAAATCTTGGATATATTGGGTGATTTTGGGGCAGCTTGACAGCAGAACAAGTCCAGAACCTTCCCTATAAAATGCAAAGTCTTTAAAAAATATCCATCCATTCTTTAACAGGAGGTATTAATAAATAGGGATTTGTTTGAGACCACTCAACTAATTTACAGAAGTGATGGGATCTGAACTTTGGACATTTTCCATTCTAAAATGCAGCCTGGGTTTACATCAAAACCAGTCATGGCTGGTTTGACCGATAGTCCTGGATAATCATATAACTGACTTGAATTTATTAACCAAATCAGACAAACTACAGGTAGTTCTTGACTTGTAAATAACCAATTAATTCAATAATTATGTTGGGATGATCATTAAGCAGGTCACCACGTGACATACCCAATTTTATGACCCTTGTTGTGAAAGTCAGTAAGTGAATGCAATGGGCATTAAGCAAATGTGATGGCTTTTAAGCAAACACATTATTTCTATTGGGCCATTTTTTTTTTGCTGGAAAACAGAAGTAAACACCAGTTTCCATGCTGGCTGGGAAATTCTGGGAGCTGAAGTCCCCAAATTTTAAAATTGCCAAGATTGGAGACCTGATTAAGTGCATCATATGATGGTCTATGAAAAAGCAACATCGTTTTTAAAATTAAGCAGGCCTGGAGGCTAGATGATGGTAGAGAGGAATGTGTGCACATATGAAATCATGATGTCCTGATATGACTTTTCTCTATCACTTTTACATTTCCCCCTGGAACTACCGTGTTTCTCATATAATAAGGCTGGGTCTTATTTTTTTTTGAGCCCCCCAAAAATGGCTAGGCCGTCTTTTTGGGGGTGACTTAATTCCCCCCCTTGCATCTTCAGGTGGGCAGCAATGGCTTGGATGTTGACCTCGGCGTTGGTGGGGCACTTCATATCGGGGTCAATGCAGGCAGCACCAAATCCGGGTGTGCAACAAAAGTACTTCCTAACGGCAAGCCCCCCCCCACCATTCCCCCCATTTCGCATGTTTTAATATAGGCCTTAATTTGGGGGGAGGGGCTTAATTTCATTTCATGTCTATAAAACATGCTGGGACTTCCTATTGGGGGAGGCCATATTGTTGGAGAAACAGGGTAGGATTCAGCTACTTACTTTTCTGGTGCTTTGATCACCTGGAGATCTTGTGGGAGATTTAGATTCTGGCTTAGCTGTGGCAGAACAGATTGCAAAGTCAGGTCTTCTGGCTTGCCTATTGGAGGAAAAGAGAGTATATCAATGGCACACATTCCAACCAAATCCCTTTTACCACTCCTTCGCTTGCAGGATATCTTTTCCCCTTATCACTGGAAGTCTGCTTGTCCTCCAGATTAAAATTAATATCAGTTCCCAACTTATTTTAAGAGAACACCTGTTATCATCACGTCTCCTAAATTATTTGGAGAAGAGTGCTAACAGAGCCAATATGCAAATACTTTCACTGATTTATAAATAATGCTTCATTGTTTCATTTATAAGAAAAATATCCAAGGCAGCCGTCCCATACCCCATTCAATCACAGGACTGCATACCTGATACAGGGATACCACAAGGTTTGTTAATAGCCACGAGGGTACCTGAAATACAAAATTGAAAGGATAGACAGCAATGAGTTCAAAATAATTCCAGAACAGGCTAACAGACTGCTCCAAAATTCAAAACAATGCTATGGTGGGATTTTATAAGTCAGAGGTTATAGTGGACTTGGCTTTGGGAGAGTGGCTATCTTATTACACTTCACAGTTCCCATGGTCATTCCTTCCTTCCCATTTTCTTTTAAATTCAGGGGAAGGATTGAGAGAGAATATGTACACGTTTAAAAAATGTACAAAGTGACTCAAGTTGTATTCTACCAGTTTCCCACATAGGTAATCCTTATTTAACAATCACAAATTGTTTGTTAAGCAATCACAAATTTCTTGTTAAGCAAAACAATCACTAAGTGAAATCACAACCGTGCTAATGATTTTACTTCAATTTTTTCTGCTTTACAGTTCTATGAAGGTCATAAATGCAACGCTTGGCCGTAAAGTTAGTTTTTCATCACTGTGGTAACTGTGAATGATGCTGAATGAGGACTACTTGTATCAGCAGAAAGGATTCCATTGCAAATGTCTATGAATGACAAAAATAGCACTTAGCAATAGCAATAGCACTTAGACATATACTGCTTCACAGTGCTTTACAGCCCTCTCCAAGTGGTTTACAGAGGCAGCATATTGCCGCCAATAACAATCTGGGTCCTCATTTTACCCACCTCGAAAGGATGGAAAGCTGAATCAACCTTGAGCTGGTGAGACTCGAACTGCTGGCAATCGGCAGAATTAACCTGCAATACTGCACTCTAACCATTGAGCCACCAGGGTTCTTCTCTGTCCTTTGTGACTATTTCTTTTTTTTCAACAATACAAAACCACTTCTGATGTTCCATTGAAAAGTTTAGAAACCTGCAAGTCCAAGTGTACATGCAGGTAGTCCTCGACTTATAACCATTTGTTCAGTGACTGTTCCAAGTTACAATGGCATTGAAAACAAAGCAAAGTCAATGGGGAAGTCAGATTCACTATAACAACCGTGTTACTAACGTAACAACTGCAGTGATTCACTTAACAACTGTGGCAAGAAAGGTCGTAAAATAGGGCAAAGCTCACTTAACAATTGTTTTGCTTAGCAACAGAAATTTTGGGCTCAACTGCGGTCATAAGTTGAGGATTACCTGTATACGAGATTCAACATAGTTGAATTTACTCAGCCATATCATTTACTAAATAAACCACACTGGCTGAGATCACACAGACAACATCAAGCCACATTGTAACTTAGTCTTAGCTCATATCCCTCCAATAGTCTTAAACAGACTTGTGCTCCACCAAGCAAGAGGAAGCTTCCTAATCAAGTATGGTAGTACATTAAGGCTCAATAAAACTCCAGTTCCCCTACTGGAGCCAAGCAGATGTCTCTGGATAAACCCAATGAGGTGAAGGCAAAAGCTTGCAACTCCTTTGCTGCTGGGTACTAATTTGAGATATTGTATGAAAGTTCTGTTATAGTCTTCTGCTCGTTCGAATCTCCTGCCATTCGGTCTTAATGTTTGCCCATAACTTCCAGCACAAGGATGATACATCAGGCCTTCCAAATATTGTTGTGGTCTTCTGACCATAAACCCCAGCTGGCACAGTTAACCAAGGATGATGGGAATTTGAATTCAGCAACATCGGCAGGTTTCCCTACCATTGGCTCAAGAATGATGAGAGAAGACACATACCGTCCGCATGAATTATAGATGTTTTCAGTAGTTTCAGCAACGAATCAGGCTCCAGTGACTTTAATGGCTTCAAGTAGCTTATTTTATTGGGGGTTTCTCCCATTGACTTGTCTACTTTTTTAAGGTTCAGCAAGTGATACCTAAGTCAAATGAAAGTTGTTTAAAAAAACATTTTAAGCCATCTTCATATTATTTTTTTCCCAGTAATTGTTTTTTTTTTATTACACATCAGGGGTGTCAAACTCTCGTCGTCACGGCAGTGTCACGTGAGTTTATCGGGACTTTTTTCTCCTTTGCTAAACCGGGCGTGGGCAAGGCCAGCACTTGACGCATCAGGCCTGCAGGCCAGGAGTTCGACAGCCCTGTCATAGATGAATATCTTACCACCATTAGATATTCTTGGCAGTTAACAACTGGAATTATGCTCATCAAAACGTTCACAAAAGGTAACGAGGGGGAAACCTGTGGAAGTCTAGATGTGGTTGTATTGCAGTTGAGTGTTTGGAACTGCAGAATAGCAACATCCAAACCACCACCAATTCCTTTATTGTACATAAGAGATCAAGTAAATGGACAGCAATACCACTTTAGACTTATATACTGCTTCACGGTGCTTTTATAGCCCTCTCTAAGCGGTTTTTCAGAGTCAGCCTATTGCCCCCAACAATCTGGGTTCTCATTTTACCCATCTCGGAAGGATGGAAGGCTGAGTCAACCGTGAGCCTGGTGACATTCGAACTGCTGGCAGTTAGCAGTGAATTTATTTATTGATTGATTTTATATTGCTGCCTATTCGCCCATGGCAACTCAAGGTGGCTCACAGAATTAGCCTGCAATACTGCATCCATGGATGCCCAGGGAGGAGAGACATTTTAACATGAACACAATAAATGAATGAATGAACTACTCTAAAGATTCATTCCATTCTAATTTTGAAACAAAGTTAGCATCATTGACTTCATCTGTCTCGAAATTCTCACAGGGCAGCTAGGTGTTTTATATGTAGCATGGCTGAAAACAGAGCTTTCTATATTTGTTGAATGAACAAATTTTAGATTTTAGAAATATCCATTCTTAGAACTGGAAGCTTATGTAAATACATATGGATTTGCTATTCTCTCTTCAAGTTCAAACCAGGAAACAAGAGCAAGCTGTATATAGATGAAACAGTTACTCATTTCAAATTTTTTAAGACATACATTGAAATACAACTACAGCCACCCAATACTTTTCTTGCTCACTTCCCATCAATTTCATTCATGCATTTATTTGGAGAGGCAGAAAATAGTAGCTCAAGGTAAATAGATTCCCATTTATAAACCTGGAAAAAAAACCTATCCTGCGCACCAGATGTGGTATTCAGCAGGTTCTGACCAGTTATGGAGAACCGGTAGTGGAAATTTTGTGTAGTTTGGAGAACCAGCAAATGCCACCTGTGACTGGAGATTTTACAGTATCCTTCCCCTTCCACACCCACCAAGCCACACCCACAGAACCAATAGTGAATAAATTTGAATCCCACCACCGCTGCACATCAATGTTTCTCAACCTTAGTAGCTTCAAGATGTGTGGACTTCAACTCCCAGAATCCCCACATTCTGAGGAACTCTGGGAACTGAAGTCCACACATCTTCAAGCTACCAAGGTTGAGAAACATTGATGTACATGCTGAACAAGGTTGGTGCATGCAATAAACAGGTCCAGTCGAAACCCAAAGGACAGCTGTCTCGAATTGTCTCTCGGCTACTTTTCCTCTAATAGGAGAACTTCCAGTCATTCCGGAGGTATCTCCCTGCGTCCCTCTTTGCGAGATATGTAGGCAGGGGGTGCAGTCACTGAAGAAGCATACAGGTAGTTGTTGACTTACAGCAGTTCATTTAGTGACCGTTCAAAGTTACAATGGCACTGAAAAAAGTGACTTATGACCACTTTTCACGCCGACGAGTTACATTTGGAAGCTTGACAACTGATTCACATTTATGGCGGTTGCAATGTCCTGGTGTCACGTGATCCTCCTTTTGCAACCTTCTGACAAGCAAAGTCAATGGGGAAATTCAGTTCATTTAACAACCGTGTAACTAATTCAAGAATTGCAGTGATTCACTTAACGAATGTGGCAAGGAAAGTTGTAAAATGGGGCAAATCTCACTTAACAACGGTTTCACTTAGCAACAAAAATTTCCGGCTCAATTGTCGTTGCAAGTCGAGGACTACTTGCATCTCTTGCCGGCACTAGTCATGCCTGTTGAGTTTCTGCTGTCACGCACTGCACCGACAGAAGTCCGGGTGGAAGAACGCGAGTTAAGGCGGTAATCGGCAAGTGACCGATTTTTCTTACCAAGCCGGCGGAGTAGTGGAATGCGCGCGCAGCCTTCCGCGCGCGCGGACCACGCGGCGGAGGCTCAGCCCGAACATCCCGAGCGCGCCGCGACCAGCCCGGAAGCATCTACTGGCCGGTAGACAAGGAGTGTGACGTCCTCATGAGAAGCAAGGTGCCTGCTGGGAGATGTAGTTTCTTTCGAAGGAGAGGCATATGACGCATAAGCCCCACCTTTTTTCCCTGTTTAAAAAAAAAAAAAATCTAGGAACGCCCGCCCGCCCCCACAGAACAGCCATTGACTGACGTACAAATTCGCAGGAGGCAGGGCTCCAAGAACAACTCGTTAACACATGCTAACGCGCATGCGCTCTTCGCCTTGGCGGTCGCTCTCTGCCCCTCGTGAAAATGGCTTCGCGCGCGGGACCTCGAGCCACGGGAACCGATGGTAGCGACTTCCGGCACCGGGAGCGCGTGGCCGAGCATTACCAAATGAGGTGGGGTGTGGGGTGTCGCGCTTATGCACCCATTAGGAAGCCCCAATTTTTTTTTCCTTCCTGTCTTTAAACCTGCATGTTGCAGCGTTGGTAGCTGCCGCCTGCCTGCGTGCCCTGCCTGATCCGTGCTCTGCAACCGACTCGGCAGGATATATATTAAAAAAGGGGGGGGAAGAAGTGCTGATATATATACAACAAACGGGGATAGCATGTTGTTAGATTGCATTTGAATAATGAGGTTAAACATTAAACATTCATTTCTCCTCAATACTTTATTCTTGATGGCTTGTCCTCTACGTCACAAGCCTTGAGGATATCTACAAAAATACACAGCAGGTACCTGTGGCAGCATTTAGCTCAGCTCAAAACAGCTAAATAGGATTAGTACTTGAGTGGGAAATCCCCAGGACTCTGGGCTGTAGAGAAGCCCGAGAAGTTGAAAAGCTTTCTGGAAGAAATAGTAGAAATTTATTATTGCCCAGATGATGTGCCTTTGAGGTCAGCCAAATTTGGCTTGCCTGGAGGACCTCTTCATTTATAAGATGCTCTTGCAAGGTTTGAATGAGAAATATCCAACGAAGCCATTTCTCGAGATCTAAAGGGAGTTTATTGGGAGAAGAAAACAAGGAAAAACAAGGGTGGCAAGTATCACCTAGACAGGCTTTCAAATGGAACACAACCATTCAATCCAGCTAACTTTTAATGTCTTCGTTTTCACCACATTTCCAATATTTGTTTTGGAGAGGTTGGCTAGAGAGGGAATCTGGGCCTCTTGCTTTGGTATTAATCAAGACTTCCTTGTTTTCTTGGCCATTGTCCTCTGCTTTTTGGAGTAGAGAAAATAGCTGCCTTAAAGTATCTTTACTTGTAAACCCAGGTTTTAGCAGGATTATTGTTTTATGCAAGTCACTTTCAACTCATGGAAACTTTCTGGAGGAGTCCCTACAGTCCTCATGGCAAGGATTTTTGATTTCAAGGGTTCTCTGATGATGTGAGTTTGGCCAACTGACCAAAATATTATTTGGTACTTAAGCCCATCTTACTTACTGATTTATTTATTGCATTTTTATCCTGCCTTTATCACTTTATAAATATATCAAGATGGAGAACATATATAATACGACTTCCTCCTCCTCCTATTTTCCTGCAACAACAACCCTGAATTGGCCTGAGAGAGAATGACTGATCAAATCACCCAGCCAGCTTTCATGCCTAAGGCAGAAATAGAACTCAGTCTTCTGGTTTTTAGACCAGCACCTTAACCACTCTGGATTGATACAGGAATTGACTTGGTTTTTACTATTGGCAGGGGTGGAGTTGAAGAGCCAGGGTACAAGTGGTTTAAGTAAATATTGTGTACTGCTGTCACACAGTGGTAATTTAGCTGATGACATTTTTTCCATTGCAATATCATTACATTGGGAAAAACACTCACTGAATGTTTGCTTGTTATGCAATGATAAAAGCCCTGGGGCTTTGGGAGAAAAACATTTTTTATGAATGCCTCTTGACCTTTCTCACGAAACAGTTTTCCTCAAAGAAGCAAATATCCTGTAATTGAGGAATGGGTAATGAAGCACCCATTGGTGATTTTTCTTAATAGCTGCCAGATTGTCTGCAGTAGCTGGATACTTTTTCAAAAGATTATTTTAAATGAAATAAAAGGAAGTGCCCATTGAAAAATAAGTACTAGTTTTATTTATACAGGTAGTCCTTGAAAATTGAGCCCAATTTTCTAGGCAAGACAGTTGTTGAGCGCAGGATCAAACTCACCCTTCCTCCTTCCATCTTTTCTCTGCTTTCCACAGCGTATCTCTCAAGTCTGAGATTAAGAAGTTGATCTACATGCAGGTGGGCCTGTGGCTGTTGGTGGCAGCACAGATGTGCGTAGCTCACTTCAAACTTCTACCCCATGACAAGGTGGCCATGCCTTACCAGTGGGAGTACCCATACTTGCTCAGCATCATCCCTTCCCTCTTTGGCCTCTTCTCCTTTCCCCGAAACAACATCAGCTACCTGGTGATTTCCATGATCAGCACCGGCCTCTTCTCAGTGGCGCCTCTCATCTACGGCAGCATGGAGATGTTCCCGATGGCTCAGCAGCTCTACCGCCACGGCAAAGCCTACCGCTTCATCTTCGGTTTCTCTGCAGTCTCTGTCATGTATTTGTTGGTCGTGGTGGCAGTGCAAGTTCATGGCTGGCAACTGTATTACAGCAAAAAGCTCTTGGACTCCTGGTTTACCAGCACTCAGGAAAAGAAGAAGAAGTAAACAAGGGGTTGGCAGTCTCCTGAGGGAGAGGGAGATAGTGCTCTTGGGTTTCTCTCACAGTCATACTGAGCTAATGGGAGATCCAGGGGTTCCAGCTGCCTGAATGAACATTGGACTCGGTGTGGTTGTTTTCCAGCTTGTGTGATTTACAACTGGGAGTTGTAGGCTTGGGTAGTGTTGATTTGGAAGGGATTTAGGGGATCCTCCTTCCAAAGGAGAGGCAACTGGTACCCTTTAGAGCAGGGGTGTCAAACTCGTGTCGTCATGTGATGTATCACGACTTCCCCCCCCCCACCTCTTTGCTAAACCGGGCATGGGCGTGGCCAGCATGTGATGCATCCGGCCCGTGGACCGGGAGTTTGACAGCCCTGCTTTAGAGATAATGCTTTCCTCACTTGACTTAGGCAGATGAGACTCGCCGGAGTCTCCTGTTGGTTTGAACAAACCAATATTGAGCTATGCCACATGCACTTTAAAAGATTCACCGGTGCACAATAATTGGATCCTATTAGGGATAGGAAAGCAACACACAGCAAGGCCAGGAACTAACTCCCTCCCTCCCTCCAGCTCCCACTTCAGTATATTATTGGGTCCAACCAAGAGATGTTTGCCATGTGTGGTCATGCTTCCCGGAGCAGCTATTTACCCTGGCGGTAAGAGCTGCCACCCAATTTTACTCTTTTCTCCAGCCCTACCAACAAGGGGCTGGTACATGCCAAGCACAGAGACCTCCCCTGCTGAATTTTCCCTTAGCTTGACTTGCCATATACCCCGTCCAACCTCAGAGAACCACGTTCCAGGGACTGTTCGCCTTTTGTTACAAGCTGTCTAGGTTGCCACCCATCTCTGCTCTCATGCTTGTGAACCAAATAAAATGCTACCTTAAAAGTCTTGCCCCAGGGTCTTTTGTGGATTGGAAGTGGGTGGGTGGTGGTTGTGATGGGCAGGTGATAGCAGTCATATCAGTATTTCTCAACTTGGTTACTGTTAAGGTGTGTGGACTTCAACTTCCAGAATTCCCCAGCTGGTTGAGGAATTCTGGGAATTGAAGTCCTCACTTCTTAAACTGGCTAGAGTTGAGGAACACTGAGTTGCATGCAGCATTTTTTTTTCTTCTTCTACTCTGGCTTCCTGGCAGATGTTCTTTAACTCAGGCAACCCGGTGGACAGTGCAATGGGAAAGACTAAAGTTAAATTTAAGCAGATTCTTTGCCCCCCTCTCTCTTTTCTCTTTCTCCCTGCTCGTCAGGTTGCCAGCTAAGCGACAGATATTCAGGTGTATCTGTCAACACATGTTTAAAAACACACCATGCACATATATGTAGTTTTCCTTGATGACAGCCATCAGATTCGTAGAGATGTTTTTGCCTCCACAGAGGAAGGAACAGCAGAACCACAAGGGCGGATTTTAATTTCCTTGGGAGGGAGGATAACAGGAGGAAGAATGGCAAAGAAGCGCCAAAACTACTTATTTTTCTTTTGGCTTCTGATAAACACTTTTACTTGATGGAAAGGGATAGTGTATATTTCAGGCAATCTTAAATTGCCACTCCAATGGATCAGCCTATCTGGGTTTGCAGAATGACAAGATAATGTGTTTGATTTCTCTGTGAAACGATGTTTTTGACGTAATGTTTAATACTATACCACCAATCTTAAGAGGCTAATGAAAATCCTGCCCTGAGGAAGTCACAGTTGCTGAGGATTTTTTTTATTAATGATAATGGAGTACAAATTAATCCTTTGTGATTTTGTTTTTCCCGTGGAGGAGCTGAAGAGCAACCTCTTATAAAAAACACAAGCAACAAGATAAAAGAATACATTTGTATGGTTCGGTTAGGGATAAAGTTCAAGAAATTACATAGGATTTACTAGAAAGCTTCAAAATAAGATTTCAAATAGCACAGGTTATATTATGCAAGATGTCCCACACAAAATAGGTCAGCAAAAAAACAGAATGATAATGGGATATCTGAAGGGTGAGGCTGCCAGGGAGAAAAGGAAATCCAGTAAAAATTAGTATATTGTTCTGTTCTAATTCTGCTATACTTTGTCATGTCTCACTCAGGCACATTACATAACTTTTTTTAAGCAAGAAAATATACATTCCATTGCTCCATCCCCACTCAACAATTCTGTGAGATAGGATAAACCGGGTGGAGTTTCATAGTTGAGCAGAAAGATTTAAATCAAGATTTTGGTTTAAATGAGGCATTTCAAACACTAGATAATTATTTTATTTCTTATAATTGAAATAATTTATATTTTCAAATAATAGGAAAGTAAACCAAATTCGATTTTGTTCTCAGTAATAAGTTTTTTTAAAGTGGGTCATGTTGTGTCTTTTGCTTTATTT